AATTATAACTTTACCGATGTTAAGCGTGAACTACAAGTAATAGCTCCACCTACATCACCAAACTATCAAATAATGGACCATTCCGCGAACATGACAGGCACTTCTCTGCCTCCTGGCCTTAGATTTCCAACCGGCTCAATTCTTGGACATCATCTTATAATTTCAGGAACTTACCTCACAAATCCTAGTCAAACTTTTAGTATATGGGCACTAAACCTTTCGAATTTAGTGTGGACTCGAATTGACACCGGTTCATGCTTTTCTCAAGGTTCTTGGAATCGCGGAGTTCTTTGTGAAACAAATAACAAATATTTCGTACTAGGCCACCGTGATAGATCACTTGTAGACGACTATAACCATCGGCAAACCAATTTTGATCACGTAACGGTCGTGGACATGGAAGCATTTGGCATTTACCAACCACCTCCTGCCACGATGTCTCCGGTATCACAAGAATTAGGATTGTCGATGATGAATGATCCAAACATTGCGGATTTTGAGATCGTAACATCGGATGATCAACGAATACCAGTCAATTCACAATTGCTTTCTAGTAGGTGGCCGCATTTCAAAGCGCTAGTTGATCAACATGCTGAAAGTGCTTCCAAACCAAAATATGACGAAGAAACGCAACGAAATTCTGATGATGAACTAGTACTCATGTATCATAACCGTGCTCTTGAATTCCCTGAACCTTACGAAATAACGATAGCATTTTTGCAGTATCTATACACTGATCATCTCCTTACCCCTCAACAACATCAACCACATATTTTGGCACAACTATTGCTTCTGGCGGATATGTATGATCTCAGTCGCCTTCGTCAATTGGCGTCCCATGCACTTCATCAGTCACTTAGCATGGCGACTGCTGCCCTAATATATGAAACTGCTGCCTTATCAAGGCAGATTGGTTTGCAGATACGAGCTCTCAAAGTTATGATTGCGGCGAAAAAAATGGTTCAGCAGCGACAAGGTAAGGAGCAATCATCGTCTAGAAGTATTGCAAATGGCAACGGGCAAACAACGTCAAACCGCGTCTCCCTATCAGAGCAAGAATTTTCAAGTCCTCCACCATCGGCATTGCAATCAGATTTGAGGTCATCCTATTATGACCCATATTCTCCGGCAGTAAATTTACCATCACAGTCATCTCACACTACACGTTCGCGTTCATCGTCTTCAGCCTCGGCTCTCAGTGGTACAATACCGAATCGTGGATATTTGCCAACTATACAAGATAACTCAGGATCAAATGAATCAGGCGTAGTAAATGCAAATTCATCACGTCCACGCTTGCGATCCACGCAATCAAGTAGTTCACTGAGGTCCGCTAAGAGTTTTGCAGGGAGTAGCAGTACCTTTGGAACTAGTGCTATCCATCAGCAATCAATTGCGACTGATAATCGATCCTATCAACAGGATGCTGGATTCGGATATGTAAGTGGGGGAATGCCTGGAATGGTTCAACTGTACGACCACGCTAGCGATTGTCTGTAAAAAAAATTAGTCATGATTCTGAAAGCATTTGGGAACCAAGGCAAAAACGACAGCATACGGAATTGTAAAAAAAAAAAAATTAATAATGATTTTTTTGGTTTTCAAAGTAAACAAAAGTTGAAATTTTTAATTTGCATCGGAATGTTGTGTGACTTTCGACTGATAAAATCTCAAGGCTTTATGTCAATATTTAAAGGTATTGAATCAGGTATTGAATGGGAACAGAATTTGACCGTTTTCAATTATTTTTAGTTTCGCTATTATAAATACTCTGTTATATATATACACATATTAGTAAATATACTGTTTTACATAATTAGTGATATAGTACGGTTGGTTTAAAAGCTGAATTTCTTATGTTTAGATATACAGCATTATTGGTTTTTTAGAAAAAAAAAGTAAATTCCTATTTTTAACTGCATTTGACAAATATAATTTATTTTTAAATCTTACATCTGATTTGGAATTTTTCGAATAAAATGTTTTTTTTCGATTTTAGATAGTCGTGCCAACTTCGAATTTTGGCGATTTTTTCCGGGCATACTAAATTAGTGAAACCATTATTCCTAAGATCTGTTAATTAAATGAATAGATTTTTGTAAACCTATTTAATTACATTATTAATGTATAAAAATGTCATTTTTCAAAAAATAAAGTAATTTATCTGAATAATATTTAAAAATAAAATTATTTTAAAATAGAACATATAATTTTTATTAATTGAACTAATTTTAAAAAACAATCAAAATAGTAAAATATTTTTTATTACAATTAAGATTAATAATAATAATAGTAACATCTTGTTAGTTAAAAATTATAATATTTAATTATTTTAAGTCAAAGTTTTAAAAATTAAGATAATAAAATATTTTTACAAATAGTTAATTCAATGTATAGTTTTTAAAATTATAAGATTTGATATTTTTTTATGTATAAGTTTTTAAATATTTTTGAATAATTAATAAATTAATTGTAAATTTTATTTCTCATTAAATTTTTTATTTATTTGTTTGTTTTATTTTAATAATATAATAAATTATAGTTAAAATTCTCGTGTGTATTGCATCCTAGCCCTTAAATAATAATAATAATAATAATAATAAATTATAGTTTTAAAATTATTTTTTTAGATAAAAAATATACAGTAATAAAACATATACTTTTATTGAGTTATTTATATTCAATTATATAATTATAAAATTTATTTCTAATTTTATCTAATTATACAAGTTTATTATCTTAAAGATAAATTTATATATTAGATAAAATTTTTTAAAAATAAATATAATATTAATAGTTTATAAATAATCTAATCTAATTTAGATTCTAGTAGTTATTATTTAAAGTATATATTTTTTAAAGTTAATTAAAATACTTGAATAATTTATTTAATTTTTTTTTTTTTTTTTTTTTTTTTTTTTTTTTAATTCTGCAATCAGGTTGGTGTCGTTTATTTATTTAATCATTAAGAACCATTACAAGTTGAGAACCTATGTAAAGTATAAATTTCCTCGACCCAACTCACCCGTCTTAAGCCGAAGCCT